AGAAATTAAGACTACACTTCCAGCGATCATTTTTAGTTTGTTCCTAGAAGTTTCTCTTAACGTATAGAGTACTATATTTTTATACAAAACAAACAACAACAAAAAACCCAGAAAATCATCACTTTACAAGCCCTGTAGAAAGTTACTCATCCAGCCAAGAATTATTTATTGGTTCTAAAACCATCCACTAAATGATTGATGGAGAATGAACCAAAGTAAACATAACATTTTGGTTAAAGGGAAGTAACAATCACCAGCCATCTGGTATATCTCTCCTAATGGTATGCAATTTGAAGTACGTAAGATCACCTCTGATGTATTCTGGCCAAAAATGAATCACATTTAGAATTAAAAAAAAAAAAATCAGAGATTTTGAATTAGAACCATGTGAAAGCAATCATAGAAATCAAAGAACAAATCTCCCAAAGGAACGGGTGGTGATGACTTTCTAAAGATAAATATAACTCAAACACAGAAATCTAACTTCCTGCCTGGGCAACACAGTAAGACCCTATCGTTATAAAAAAAAAAAAAAAGTTTAACAATTAGCAGGCCGTGGTGGCACACCTGTAGTCCCAACCACTGTGGGCGTGGGGCTGAGGTGGGAAGGTCTCTTGAGCCCAGGAGGTGGATGCAGTGAGCTGTGATCGCACCAGTGCACCCAGCCTGAGCCACAGAGTGAGACCCCATCTCAAAAAACAAAAAACAAATCTAACTTCCTCATTCCAGTTAAAAAAGGAAACATCCACAGAAAATTTGAAGTAAAAAAAATAAAATATAGAAATATCAGGCCTGGCACAGTGGCTCACGCCTGTAATCCCAGGACTTTGGGGAGGCCGAGGCGGATGGATCACGATGTCAGGAGACCCATACCATCCTGGCTAATACTGTGAAACCCCATCTCTACTAAAAATACAAAAACAAAATTAGCCAGATGTGGTGGCAGGCACCTAATGTCCCTGCTACTCAGGAGGCCGAGGCGGGAGAATGGCATGAACCAGGGAGGCGGAGCTTGCAGTGAGCTGACATCAGGCCACGGCACTCCAGCCTGGCCAACAGAGTGAGATTCCATCAAAACAACAACAACAACAACAACAAAATATATATATATATATAAAAACAAGAAAAGTACATCTACATATCTTATTCTTTCAGAAATTCCTACTAGACAGTACTAATGGCGGGACTATATTTTCTGAGGAAGCATTTTTTTGCAGCTAGTAATAAAAAGTACTAGTATTTAACATTAATCAAGTACTTACTGCACACTTGGGACTATTCTTAGAATTTTACATGTATTAACTTCTGGAGCTGCACAACCACCCTTTGAATCAAATATTGCTATTATCTGTATACTATGAAATGAGCAACTGAGGCCCAAGGCTTACGTACCTACCTGAGGTCCCCAAGGTAAAAAGTGGCAGAGGAAGGAGTTAACACAGGAAGTCTGGCTCCTTGGCCTATGTCTTCCTTTAAAAAAAAAAAAAAAAAAATTAGCTCACGCCTGTAATCCCAGCACTTTGGGAGGGCGAGGCAGGCGGATCACATGAGTTCAGGAGTTCGAGACCAGCCTGGTCAACATGGTGAAACCCCATCTCTACTAAAAATACAAAAATTAGCCAAGCATGGCAGCACACTACACTCCAGCCTGGGTGACAGAGCAAGACTCCATCTCAAAAAAATAAAATAAAATAAAACAAAAAATAAATTTTAGTATATATATTACATTCATAGTTAGAAAACAAACATAAATGCCTATTTGCCTTTGCCCTGTCTATTCCAGTACCCCCAGCCCCAACAGATAGCCAGTTTTATTAGTTTCTTATGTATCTTTTGAATTTTTTTTTTTTTTTTTTTTTTGAGACAGAGTTTCACTCTTGTTGCCCAGGTTGGAGTGCAATGGCGCAATCTCTGTTCGCTGCAACCTCCGCTTCCTGGGTTCAAGCGATTCTCTTGCCTCAGCCTCCCGAGTAGCTGGGATTAACAGGCATGCACGAGGCCAGCTTGCTAATTTTGTATTTTTAGTAGAGATGGGGTTTCTCCATGTTGCTCAGGCTGGTCTCAAACTCCTGACCTCAGGTGATCGGCCCGCCTTGGCCTCCCAAAGTGCTGGGATTATAAATACATATTCTTATTACCCCTTTTCTTATTCCAAATGCATCGTGCATCATACTCTACATTCTGCACCTTGCTCTCAGTTAACAATACATTTGGAAGTTATTTCAGTCTCAGTATATAAAGAGCTTCCTCCTCATTCTTTTCTACAGATATGTATGATTTTGTTGTATCGATGTACACCAAACTCCCAATGATGGGCATGAACTGTTTTTTTTTTTTTTTCTTTCTTTCCTCTCTCTCTCTCCTTTCTTTCTTATGACAGGGTCGGCCGGGCGCAGTGGCTCGTGTCTGTAATCCTAGCATTTTGGGGGCCAGAGGTGGGCAGATCACTTGAGGTCAAGAGTTTGAGACTAGCCTGGTGAAACCCCTTCTCTACTAAAAATACAAAAAAACTAGCCAGGCATGGTGGCGGGCACCTGTAATCCTAGCAACTCGGGAGGCTGAGGCAAGAGAATCGCTTGAACCCAGGAGGCGGAAGTTGCAGCCAGCACAGATTGTGCCACTGCACTCTAGCCTGGGCAACAGAGAGACTCCATCTCAAAAAAAAAAAAAAAAAAAAGACAGGGTCTGGCTGTCAACCAAGCTGGAATGCAGTCGCCAGGATCTCTGCTCACTGCAGCCTTTACCTCCTGGGCTCAAGTGATCCTCCCACCTCAGCCTCCCAAGCAGCTAGGACTACAGGAGATCTCACTATGTTGCCCACGCTGATCTCTAGCTCCTGGACTTGAGCCATCTTCCTGCCTTGGCCACCTAAACTGCTGGGATTACAGGTCTGAGCACCACGCCCGGCCTGAGGCTTTATATTTTAAAATGTGTCGGGCCCCCACCTCCCCACACCTCAACGCCTTTTTTTTTTTTTTTTTTTTTTTTTTTTTTTGAGAGGGAGTCTCGCTCTGTCTCCCAGGCTGGAGTGCAGTGGCGCCATCTCGGCTCACTGCAAGCTCCGCCTCCCAGGTTCACGCCATTCTCCTGTCTCAGCCTCCCCCGTACATGGGATTACATGTGCCCACCATCACGCCCGGCTAATTTTTTAATATTTGTTTTAGTAGACAGGGTTTCACCGTGTTAGTCAGGATGGTCTTGATCTCCTGACCTTACGATCCGCCCACCTCGGCCTCCCAAAGTGCTGGGATTACAGGCGTGAGCCACGGCGCCTGGCCAACGCCTTTTATTTTTCAGTTACTGGCTCTTGCAGCTTGTTTATTTTTCCATAGTAAGTCTAGGATCAGTTCCCCTAGTTCCAAAAGAGAAAAGCCTGTCCATACTTTTACTAGGATCACATTATTATTATTATTATTATTATCTGAGACGGAGTCTCGCTCTTGTCCAGGCTGGAGTGCAGTGGCGAGATCTCGGCTCACTGCAACCTCCGCCTCCCGATTCAAGCGATTCTCCTGCCTCAGCCTCCGCAGTAGCTGAGATTACAGGCGCCCACCACCACACCCGGTTAATTTTTGTAGTTTTTTATTTTTATTTTTTAGTAGAGATGGGATTTCACAATGTTGGGCAGGTTGGTCTCGAACTCCTGACCTCAAGTAATCCACCCATCTCCGCCTCCCAAAGTGCTAGTATTACAGGCACCAACCACCGCGCCCGACCAAGATCACATTTAATTTCATACATTTACTTAAGTTTGCGTACACTTCTTAATGTCACATGGTATATTTATTTGTTCACATGTCCTGCCCCTTAGTAGTATTTTAAAGTTCTTTCCCAATAGTTTTGAACCTTTCCTAAGTTTTCTTCCACAATACTTTATCTTTTTACTGCTATTGTAAATATTAGTTTTCTTCAACTATGTATTCTAATTGATATTTGTAAATCAGAAAGCTATTTATTTGTAGATATTAATTTGGTACTCAATTAATTTAACTTTTTATAATTTAAAACTATGTCAATGACGACGGCGGGCGGGGGGTGACTTCCTTAGAAAAAGCATCTTTGGAGACGTCAGTAGTTTTATCACTTCACAAAATCCATACAACCTGAGAACGCCTCGACTCACTAAGAAATTAAGACACCTAGGATTTAGTCCAGACTCATAGATAAACACAGCAACAATTAAGCTTTCTTCAAAAAATGAGGATAACTGTGCCTAACCTAAAACCTTTGACTCCCTCATCCTGGGCGCTGTTATATGGCATTGCTTCTTAAAGTGTACAATGTTATTTAACCTAGGGCTCTGCTTAACAGCCCTATTAAAACACCCCAAAGATTTAGGGATTTGAACAGTTTGAAGCAGGCGCCCCGAAACAAAAGTTCTTCTGAAACACTCGTTTAAAAAAAAAAAAGTCACGGTGATTTGCATTCCACTCCAATTAAAAATAAATGCTTTTATATAAAAACTTATATAATAACTTTTAAAATTATTCAACACTTAGCTTTTCCACCCCTTCCATTTTCAAGTAAAAAAGACGCTCCAGGAAGATGGCACCGTTATAATTATCAGCACTTTCCACAAGGGAAGTGCAGCTCAAACCTTATACCTCAATGTTGGTCTCCTACATCTCCCTCTTAGGCACAATCACACACAATCCCAAACCCGGTTTCACATTCACTCAACAATCCCAAGCATCGGGTCAAACTTTGCGGACAAACTCAGGGTCACACTGGCTCAAACCCGCCTCAGAGGCCCCCACCTCCGCCCTGCACGTAGGCCAGAAGCTCTTAGACCCACTCCCTGCCCTCGCGCCGCGCCCCTAAAGATCAGGAATCCTCCCCTTTAACCTCCCCGGTCCGACCGACCCGAGACGCCCAGATCCCACCTCCTACTTTGGCGCCACGTGGACCCAGGGGCCGTACTGACCCGCGGACAAAGACCAAAATGTCCACTCGGTGCGCTACGCTTGCGCACTCCGAAGGCGAGGAAGCACTCCCAGAAGTCTCCGCGACGCGGCCCGCCTCGGTCACCGCGGCCAGGCCCAGGCTGGTACTGAATTACCTTCTATTACCAGCAACGCCGCTTCTCGGGCCTTGGACTACATTTCCCTTGAGGCTTTACTGGTCGACTCTCTGTCTCCTCCCCTCCCCCCGCGAACCTGGCTGCCTCCTTCTGTGACGATGGAGTTCTTGAGGTAAGTAGTCCTTTAGCGTTAGATGACTTCAAGCTTGCTGGAGGGGCTGGAGTGGCGACGCCCTCTCCGAAGCCTCGCGGGCGCAAAAATGTCAAAACGGGCCAGGCCCCGACTCAGAAATAAGAGAACGCCATTTTGTCTCTGGCCGATGTGGCTCTGGACTACAATTCCCAGAGCCCACAGCGGCCTGACGTTACGTCGTTCTTGACGTCGTGGCGAGCTTGTTAGCTCCGCAAGGACCCGGACGCGACCAGGGGAGGCAGAAGGTGAGGGGTCTGGGAGTCCTGGGCGGGGCCGGGGCGTGTCCGGAGCCTCGGATCTGTGCGCGCAGGCGGGAGCGGGCTGCGGATGCGCGGTTCTGAATGTGTCTTTGTGACTGTATGGCCGGGTGTGGGTGTCTGCAACTGTGCAGGTGTAACCGCCTGTCTCCAGGGTGTCTGTCTGGTGGTTTTTTTGTAACCATATGTGATAGTGAGTAGTGGAGTGCAGGGTCCTTGTGACCGGGGGTGACACTGCGTGTGTCCCCGTTGTAGATGTGGCCTGTTCGCCCTGTTCCTGGGGTGTGAGTACAGTTGTGACTGTGTGACCACTGCGGGTGTGCGGTTGTGATTCATGTCTCCAAGGTTTATGCGTGGTTTTGGTTGTCTGTGCCTGTGACTATGCGGTGACGCCGCTTGTGGGTTCCTGTGTCCCTTGGTGTGTGTGTGGCAGGGGGATGAGTGGTGCTGTGTATGCAGGAGTGGGGTGCCACTGCTTGTGTGAGTGTGACTGTGTGTATGTCCACAGTGAAAGTTCAGTTGTGACTGGGTGCCGTAAAGTACCAGTGATGGCGTGTGTCCCCTGAGTGGGTGTGTGATTGTGACTACATGAGGAATTTGTGGGTGTTGGTGTGTGGGACTTGTGACTATATGGGAGTGACTGTGTATCACAGTGGAGAGTAGATTGTGTGACTAGGTGTGTCTTAGCGGGTATGTGATTGTGACTGCAGAGGTATTGTGACTGAAAAGATATGGAGGTGAAAGTGAGTCTGTGATTGTGTACTGTGTGTCTCAAGAGTGAATGTAGGGCCAGGTTTGGTGGCTCACATCAGCACTTTGGGAGGCCGAGGTGGGAGAATCACTTGAGCCCAGGAGTTCAAGACCAGCCTGGCCTGTACAAAAAAAAAATTAAAGGCCGGGCTTAGTGGCTCACGCTTGTAATCCCAGCACTTTGGGAGGCCGAGGTGGGTGAATCACGTGCGGTCAGGCGATCTAGACCAGCCTGGCCAACATGATAAAACCCCATCTCTACTAAAAGTACAAAAATTAGCTGAGTGTGGTGGCAGACGCCTGTAATCCCAGCTGTTCAGGGGCTGAGGTGGGAGAATCGCTTGAACCCAGGAGGCAGAGGTTGCAGTGAGCTGAGATCGCACCATCGCACTCTAGCCTGGGGGACAAGAGCAAGACTTCATCTCAAAAAAAATTAAAAATTATCTGAGTGTGGTGGCCCGCGCCTGTGGTCCCAGCTACCCAGGAAGCTGAAGTGGGAGGATCTCGAACTTGAGAGGTCAAGGCTGCAGTGAGCTGTGTTTGAGCCACTGCACTCCAGCATGGGTGACAGAGCGAGACCCTGTCTCGAAAATATAAAAGGGTGGATTTGTGGTTATGTTTGTGTGACACTAACTATATGTGCAGCACAAAGTGTGCTAGTGACTCTAGTGCTTGACCCATGCAGAACCTTTGAAGTTAGGACAGATTCTGGTCCTGGACAGTAGTGACCTCAGCCTTTCTGAGTGACACTGGATTTAGGCAAATGCCTGGTCTTCTCTGACCACACTCCCCTATGTGGTAGGGAAGGGGGATGATGGTTCAAAAATGACCTGGTTGTTCATGATTCCTTTCTCTTAACCCTTCTCCAAGAAAGGTGCCAAGTTCAAGTACATCAGGTTTTATTCTATTTCCCTGAAATCCTTCTTGTTTTTCAGGACATGCTTTTCTTTCCCTCTTCTGAAACTTCAGAACCACCGCACCATCACCCTCACCCCCACCAAAGTAACCTGGTCTCCAGTATTTGCCATAGGAGTAATTTACTGGATGCCTTGGAGATGTACTGAAAGGCCTATGTCCTCTCTGCTCCCTACATACCTAATGTTCTTTTAAATTTTTTTCTTTGCTTTTCATTTTGAATTAATTTAATACTTTAAAATGTTATAAAAAAATAGAATTCCCATTTACTCTTGTTTTTTTCTTTCTTTTCTTTTTTTTTTTTTTTTTTTTTTTTTGAGATGGAGTCCTGCTGTGTCACCCAGGCTGGAGTGCAGTGCTGTGATAGCTCACTGCAACTTCCGCCTCCCGGGCTCAAGAGATTCTTCTGCCTCAGCCTCCTGAGAAGCTGAGATTACAGGCATGTGCCGCCACACCCAGCTGACTTTTTATAATTTTAGTAGAGACGGGGTTTCACCATGTTGGCCAGGCTGGTCCGAACTCCTGGCCTCAAGTGATCCTCCTGCCTCAGCATTCCAAAGTGCTGGGATTAGAGATGTGAACCACCATGTCTGGTCTCCATTTTCCTTTTTGTAACTCCTTTGACACACCCAGCCAATTTTTTGTATTTTTAATACAGACGGGGTTTCACCATGTTGATCATTTATTTTGTAGAGTCTGTAGTGTAGAATGTTCCTCTCTTTGGGATTATCTGATATTTCCTGTTGATTAAATTCAGATTCTGCCTTTGGGGCAAGAATACTCCAAAAGCGATGTACCCTTCTGAGTGCATCATGCCAGGGACCCACAAGGTCAATTTGTTACACTATGAGTGGTATTAATTTTAACCGCTTGGTTAAGATGGTGATTGCCAGATTTCTCTGCTGCAAAGTCACTGTTTTTCCCATTATAATTGATACATGTCTCATGAAGAAATACTTTAAGCCTATGTGAATATCCCGTTTCTTATCCTACTTTCGTTATTAGTCTTATCCATCAATGACGCTTGCCTGAAAAAGTTGTTACCAGCTATTTGTCAAATTGTGGGGTTTTTTGGTTTGTTTCCATCATCCCTTCTATGTTTATCAATTAGATTTTTTTTTTTTTTTTTTTTTTTGAGACGGAGTCTCGCTCTGTCACCCAGGCTGGAGTGCAGTGGCGCGATCTCGGCTCACTGCAAGCTCCGCCTCCCGGGTTCACGCCATTCTCCTGCCTCAGCCTCCCGAGTAGCTGGGACTACAGGCGCCCACAACCGCGCCCGGCTAATTTTTTGTATTTTTAGTAGAGACGGGGTTTCACCGTGGTCTCGATCTCCTGACCTTGTGATCCGCCCGCCTCGGCCTCCCAAAGTGCTGGGATTACAGGCTTGAGCCACCGCGCCCAGCCAATTAGATTTTTTTTTTAATTTTTTTTTTGTGTGTGTGTGTATGTGTGTGTGTGAGATGGAGTTTGGCTCTTGTTGCCCAGCCCGGGAATGCAGTGGCACGATCTAGGCTCACTGCAGCCTCTGCCTCCTGGGTTCAAGCGATTCTCCTGCGTCAGCCTCCCAAGTAGCTGGGATTACAGGCATGCGCCACCATGCCCGGCTAATAATTGTATTTTTAGTAGAGATGGATTTTCACTGTGTTGGACAGGCTGGTCCTGAACTCCTGATCTCAGGTGATCTGCCCACCTTGGCCTCCCAAAATGCTGGTATTACAGGCGTGAGCCACCTTACCCGGCCTTATTCATTAGAATCTTACTGTTAGAAAGATATTTTTCTTCTTCCCCATTTATTTATTTACTAAATTATTTCTGTAAGTATAGACTGGAATTTCTTCTGTAGGTTATAATTTTTTATTCTATAGGTTATATATTCATTGCTATCATTTTTTCGCTGAAATTATCACACATTTGGCCACTGGGAGCCCCTTCTAATTGATTCCTGTGTCCTTTCAATGTGGCCTCTTTATTTATTATTTTTATTATTTATTTTCTGGCACTGCAAGGTGTTCCACATTGATATGGTACTTTCCCTGCCCCAGTCCTGGAATCTACAAATTTCCCAGGGACTATTGGTTCCTTTTATTAGAAAATGATTTTTTTTAGCCAGGTGTGTTGGCAAGTACCTGTAGTCCCAGCTACTCAGGAGGTTGAGGCAGGAGGATTGGTTGAGCCGGGGAGGCAGAGGTTGCAGCAAGCCAAGATTATACTACTGCATTCCAGCCTGGGTGATGAAACAAGACCCTGTCTCAAAAAAAAAAAAAAAAAAAAAGATTTTTTGAAACCAAGGTTAGATATCTTGTTGCTTCTGAGATTTCATTGCTTCCAGGTCCTCTCAGCTATGAAATATGTTTATATGTATGTATATAGAAATAATTCATGAGTTCATATAGTATCTCCAATTTCAGTGCAACACTACAGGGTTCATTCTCGACTTCTCTCCATTTCCTTTTTTTTTTTTTTTTTTTGAGACAGAGTTTTACTCTTGTTGCCCAGGCTGGAGTGCAATGGCGCCATCTCGGCTCACTTCAACCTCCACCTCCCGGGTTCAAGCAATTCTCCTGCCTCAGCCTCCTGAGTGGCTGGGATTACAGGTGCCCACCACCACACTCAGCTAATGTTTTTTTGTATTTGTAGTAGAGACGGGTTTTTGCCATGGTGGTCAGGCTGGTCTCAAACTCCTGACCTCAGGTGATCCTCCCGCCTCTACCTCCCAAAGTGCTGTAATTACAGGCATGACACACCACGCCCGGCCTCCATTTCCTTTTTTTAAAATATAATTTTAAATTTTTTTGTGGAGACAAGGGTCCCACTCTTTGCCCAGGCTGGTCTCGAGCTCCTGACCTCAAGTGATGCTCCTTCCTGGGCATCCCAAAGTTCTGGGATTATAGATGTGAACCGTCATGTCTTGCCTCCATTTTCCTTTTTGTAACTCCTTTCTTCGACCTTGAAAATTGTGGCTCACATGAACCGTAATATGTTTTATTTATTTGCTCAGTCCTGTATAAAAAGTAATTTAAGAATTGCTGACCTCCACATACCGTGCAGTTCTTTTTG